AAAAGCTGTAGGCACATATGCTTAAACAAGATTCAAAGTCTCACAACTATGAAAGGTTGCAGACATTAAAATGCAAACTTTAATTGTACTTAACAAACACTCAATATAAAATTAAGAAGCTTATAACCCCAAAGGGCAAAGAATCCATATAAAAGCACTCAATTAAAAATTAAAACATTATAAAACTTCTTAAAATTTCATGAAGAAATATCAAACTTCTCAAAAAGATAAAATGAAAAACATTTCTGAGCCTCTAAGCATGTTTAGACACATAAAATCAATCCAAACTGTTCTCACCCAAATCAGCGAGAGTACAGTTAACTAAGTAAAATCCATTGCAGATATTCTCATGCCTCATGTTAATTTATAATATGCACTCTTGTTATATTGTCTCTCACAAATATTGTTTCTCACACTGAGTGAGAAATTCCAAGGTTATTTCTAGTCTAATCTTTGTTTATGTATCTTACACTGTATAAAGCAGTGAATACAACCTCCACTTCTCAGTGGCGACTAGTGCTTTCAAATATTTGCTTTGTTTACTTTTTTTGCTATCTGCCTATAAGCAGAAGAATAAACAATTCGTATGTTATCATCTCTGATGGCAAGCAGTTAATTGCCTGTATTTACACCAAGTCTTATGCCAGTGCTCACTATTTTCATATCTCTTGTGTGTACATTGGATAGCAAAACAAAATAAGAGATTGCCAAAGAATTGTTATGAACTCACTGACTTTGCTTACTGGACGAGATTGTAGAAACAATGATTTTAAGTCACTAATTTAGAAGTACTATAATTTTAGGACAATTTCTAGGAAACAGTCTAACTCCTCCACCCCTAATTGTTCTAATTTTCCTAAACAAATAGGGTATCAAAACTGACAATCCTACTAAAGTTCAGATTTTCCAGATTATATATCCTGGTTTAAGAGTAGCATCAATGTGGAAGACTGTGATTCAGACTAAATGTATCCCTTTTCCTCCACCCCAATTACATTATATTTATATTATCTGGGGGGAAATGTTGAGAATATAGGCTTCTGCATAACCTCATTGAAAAGGACTGACAATGGCCACCATCTTTGGAATTATTAGGGAAAAAACTGAAAATACAGTTGTCAACATCATAATGTCTTTATACATATCTACAGTGCTACCGCATGTGGAATGCTGTGTATACTTAAAGTTACTGCATCTTAGAAAAAATATTGCAGACATTTTTTTAAAAAGGTCAAAAAACGGGCAACCAAAATGATAACAACAGTGAGGAAAGATTAGAGTGTTTGAATCTCTTTAATTTAAGAAATAAGTGAGCTAAGGGAGGACATATTAGAAAAGTATAAAATTCTGGACGGTAAAGATAGTTAATTTTTTCTCATAATACTAGAGTTACAGACTTCTCTGGCCGCAAAATTTAGGTTTGACTTGCAGACTGAGATTTGACTTACAGACCAGAAAAAAACCAAAATGGAACAAAAACGGCCTGTTACGGGATTAATCGGTTTTCAATGCACTGTAGGTCAATGGAGACTTGACTTACAGACTTTTTGACTTGAGAACTGCCTTCCAATATGGATTAAGTTCTCAAGTCAAGACCCCACTGTATAAAATTCTGGACGGTAAAGAGAGATAGTTAAT